TGTATACATCTACACACCATCTATATATACATCTACACACCACCTACATACATCTACACACCATCTACATACATCTACACACCATCTCTATACATCTACACACCATCTCTATACATCTACACACCATCTACATACATCTACACACCATCTACATACATCTACACACCATCTACATACATCTACACACCATCTACATACATCTACACACCATCTACATACATCTACACACCATCTACATACATCTACACACCATCTACATACATCTACACACCATCTACATACATCTACACACCATCTACATACATCTACACACCATCTACATACATCTACATACCATCTATATACATCTACACACCATCTACATACATCTACACACCATCTACATACATCTACATACCATCTATATACATCTACACACCATCTACATACATCTACACACCATCTATATATACATCTACACACCATCTACATACATCTACACACCATCTACATACATCTACATACCACCTATATACATCTACACACCATCTCTATACATCTACACACCATCTCTATACATCTACACACCATCTCTATACATCTACACACCATCTCTATACATCTACACACCATCTCTATACATCTACACACCATCTACATACATCTACACACCATCTACATACATCTACACACCATCTACATACATCTACACACCACCTACATACATCTACACACCATCTACATACATCTACACACCATCTATATACATCCATACACCATCTATATACATCTATACACCATCTATACATCATCTATACATCCAGATACCATATATGCATCATCTATACATCTGTACACCATCTATACATCTATATATCATCTATACACCATCTCATCTATACATACATATACCATATATATATACACCATCTATAAATCTATACACCATCTATGCACCATCTGTACATCTATATATCTATACATCGTCTATATACCCATATACCATATATACACCATCTATACATCATCTATACATCTATATCATCTATACATCTATATACCATCTATAAATCATCTATACATCCCTACACCATCTATACATCATCTATACACCATCTGTACATCTATATATCTATACATCGTCTATACATCTATACACCATCTATATATCTATACACCATCTACATATCCATATACCATATATACATCATCTATACATCATCTATATACCATCTACACATGTATACATCATCTAACATCTATATACCATCTATCTACACATTATCGTACAGCCATACACCATCTATACATCATCTACATCTATACATTATCTATACATCATCTATACATTTATACACCATCTATACATCTATATACCTATACATCTATACATCTATGAGAGATATAAGTTAGGTTTATTCCCCCTACTGTATATTGACTGAAGCAGAACTTGGAACTTGGGATAGGGATGTGGATTGTTAAGTGGAAGCTTTTTTTTTTTTTTTTTTTAACTTGTTTCTTCTGGCACAATGTATTTAAGTTGGTGGGAAAGAAATAGCTTAAAAGGAACAAACAAAAATCAGTATGCTAACCTCTAACACGTGGCTCATGTCATATTTGGGTCTGTTCCTGTCTAAATGTGTGGATTTTTTGTAATACTGACATGTTTTTATTAACTGTTTTCCTTTTTAGAGTTTCTTTATCTGAAGCACATGCTCGACTGAACTTAAGGAATAAGGTGCTCAAAGAAGATGTACTAATTGCAGCCTTACTGTTTGAAATATCCCTCACCCTGAAATACGGTAATTCACTAATGATTCCTAAACATTCTTAGCTTATTCAATTACTACATGCATTTTAAATACTTCAAAGTAACAACTCCTTATTGTTATTAGATATGGCTTACTTCAATTCATACACTTAGTGTTTATAGAAAATATTTTTGTTTGTTCAAGACAGAATCTCACCATATAGCCCAGGCTGGCTGTGAACTCAGATTGCACCACCTCAGCCTCTAAGTCCTAGGACGCCAGCTGTGTGCCATCATGCCAGGGGGCAGTGCCATCTGATAATAAAGACCTTATTATGATTGCTATTGGGTGGTTTGAGACTAAACCCCACCTCAGGTCCCAGGTCACCTTTAACTTTCCATCCTCAAGCCTCAGCCACCATAGTGCTGAAAAGCAGCAAGCATTCCTAACACTGCAAGCATTCCTAACTGCAAACATTCCTAACTACAAGTATTCTTAACACTGCAAGTATTCCTAACCACTGCAAGCATTCCTAAGCTGAGTGGTCTCTCCAGCTCCCAGACTAAGCCAAGCATTTTTAACCTAGGATCCACAGATGCTTCAAACCTACAAGGCTTGTAAATCATTATCTACAAATTTGTGTGTCCTTTATAGAAAAGGTTATAGAGTTAATGATTACTAGAAAAGATTGTCATCCTGAATTAGTTTAGAGAAAACATTAGCTCCAATAAATACTAAAGAGTAGGGATATATATTTTTATTTGTCTTATTTTAAGGCCATATTTTTCAAATCAGATACATTATTTTATATACCATAAAGAAATGTACTGCCAGCCAGGTGATGGTGGTGTACACCTTTAATCCTAGTGCTCAGGAGACAGAGGCAGGGGGATCTCTAAGTTCAAGATCAGCCTGGTCTACAGAGTGAGTTCCAGGGCAGCCACAACTACACAAAGAGACCTTGGCTCAAAAAGAAAGTAAATAAAAAAATAAAGGAAGGAGGGTGCTGACAATTTTATATAATTATTAAGGCATATTGAGATTTCATGATAGTGAGTACTAACCTCGGAGAATAGACATGCTCTTCAAAGTCAAGTGGATGAGATTCCACTACTGCTGTGGAATAATTCCACTGTTTAAAAATGGACTGAAGAAAAAACTAAGTGTGGTATTCTAGATGAGCGGTCACTGAACACATACTATTGAGATTACAACTGCATCTGTTAAACCAGAAGTTGTAATGCCCATGATCAAAACTGTTTGGAGCTGGAGTGGATGTGTGGCTGTGGAGACAGCCCACAGACAGCTGAATGTTGAAGATAAGGAATGAAACCTGGCACTAGCTGGAGAGGATGTGGTGTGATGCAGGAGAGGCTTTTTAAAATGTAAATTCTAAAATACTTATGATACACAGTAAACCAATGATCGTACACAAAGTCATCATCACTGTACATGCCATCATAGGCTTGTAGTGGAGAGCACACTGTGAGTCTAAGACTGAGCAAAAGGTGGGGAGCAGAGGTTAAGTTCTAGGAGGTATGGATTCCATAATACAGAGGACATGGGGAGTGATCCAGAACCAGATTGAGTAATAAGTAGTAAAGACCCTTCTATATTTACATCAGCCAGCCCCACCCATAATCACAGAACTAAGAGATAAAGACAGCCAGGACACCATAGTTAAGAGCCTGCCTCAAAAAAACAAAATAAATTTAAACTCACAACAATCAGGTTCCATTCAACAGCTGAGAACTTTTAACCCTTTATTTTTGTTGAGACTCGTGTCCATCCATGTTTAGTCTGTAAGGCTCCTTCACACGGTCTTTCTGTTCTTCATTTAGGGGCCACAGCGTTTTGTGTTGCTCCCAATGCACTGTTTCCATTTGAACTGTACAATGAAGAGTACTTAGAGCAAAGAGAGCTCTACCTGACTCAGTGCCAACAGCAGCTCCAACAGTTTATTGCCACATGTGGTCCTGGAACAGCTTTCTTCGCTAGTGATGAGTGAGCGATCTGAGCAAAGGATTACTGCCACACATCTACACACCTTGGCTAATGAACGAAGGATTTTGGAGCGATGCTTCAGAAGTGTATTGTCTCTCGGTATCTATTAGAATGTCATTAAGGGTATGAAATGTGCCCCCCCCTTAGTTATCAAATACACATATAATCTAAGTATCTAAAACCAACAAAATTTCATATTTACACATTAAGTTACCAAGGAGATGCACATCCAGAACTTCCTGGTTACCCCGGTGTATCAAGGATACACACATAGCAAAGAATATTGCAGTGTAAAAACAAAGTTTCATTCATGTTACCCATCAAGAAGCAACACTTTTTACCTACATACAGCTTACACACTTGTCAATTTACCAAACTTATTAATTCAAATCACTGCAATTTTTAAGACCCAAAGTGTCTAATGTAAGACCTTCTTCTATATTTTAAACATGTGCATTATGGGTATATTGTTTTGTAAGCCCAAGCATGAAGTCAAGGAAAGCTGTGGAAATGATATACACACCTTTTGTACAGCCAGACTCGAAAGACAACTGCTATTTACCTTTGGGGGCAAATGGTATTTCTGCCCCCAACTGTTGGGTAATACAGTGCCTAACTTGGTATTTCTAGGCACTGGCTCTGAAAAGCAAGTTAGCAGCAGTACATACAAATTAAGACCTCTGTTTTGTGCTGTTTCATATGTGTGAAAAGTCTCAGTCTCTGGGATGAAGGTAAAGCAATTCTTAACAAAAACACAAACCACACTAAGTACCTCCCACAACTGTAGTCTTCACATAAGAAATTTTCTTTTTCCTGGTGATCCAGCCCAGAAGCAGCCACTTTCCCAGCCTTAGACAAAGGCTTTTTCAGACAGGGTTTCTCTGTAGCTTTGGAGCTTGTCCTGGAACTCATTCTATAGACCAGGCTGGCTCAGAGATCCACCTGTCTCTGCCTCCCAAGTGCTGAGATTAAAGGCATTTGCCACCACTGCTCAGCACATAAAGGCTTTTAAATGCAAGTCATGCCATCAGAATGTTTCTGTATTTTTATGCTGTTTACTAAATCTAGGCACTCAAAAGGCTTACGATTTAGGAAGTCTTCACAAAAGGAGGAAATCCAGTTGTAGACTTGTCAAGCAGCTAGACACTTTCCTTCCTACAGTGGATGCTAATTACTCTACTAGCAATCAGAATTGTCAGAACATTATTTTACTATGAGAACGACGCTTTAAGACATACATTTGAAAGAAATTACTGCCCACCACAATTAAAATTCTACATAATGTATTTATTAATATCAAATAAAATACTAATTCTCGTCTTTTGCTTCTGTTCACGGTTTCTTGACCTATTCTTCATTTTACATCCAAAATGGGTGCTGCACCTTCCCGAAGGAAAAAGAAAAAAAGACAGTCAGAAGCCCATATCATTTTCCTCAAGCTTAAAAACTAAGTCCAGGTGTTCACCTTAATGACCTTAGAAAGAATGCCAAACAGCCACACATTCAAAGGCTATTTCAAAACCAATGGCCCAGTCCAAGTGGCATCAAATACTCCTCAATCAAGAGATGTGACTGAGCAAACTTACCCAATGCCGTGTTTGTAAACATCACAGCTACTGAAGTTCCACATTCATCTGCAGTTACCTGCATGCTGGATTACAAGAAAAAAAAAAAAGCACACGGGTTTCAAAAACAATTTCATCACATCTCAAAAATTCACATGATCTATACATTGCTGGCATCTCAGATTTGAGATTACTTCTTCAAAGAAACTCTCAGCTGGGTAAACGGCAAAAACTTAAGTCATCATTGTGCCAGCCATTAAGCTCTGTTGAATAAGTCAAACCACAAAGGAAAAAAGAAACGCACACACCTTAATATCGTGCCATGCTACTGGCACCTGTAGTCCTGGAGGCTAGTTGAAATCACATTCAGTGACAAGTGTTCGGAAAACATTTCTTCAGGCACCTTCAAGAGAGAGGTTTTGCTGCACCTAAAAATTAAAGATTTGATTGTTAACTCTCATTTGTACTTCCATGTTTAGCACCTTGTATGATTGTGCTGGCTACTTTTTGTCAATTTGACTGACACAAGATAGTCACTGGAGGAAAAAGCCTCAACTGAGAAAGTATCTGCAGAGGGCTGGGCCGTAGGCAAGCCTGTAGGGCATCTTCTAAATTAGGGGATGGGGGAGGGAGCAGCCCATCGTGGGTGGGGATACCCTTAGGCTGCAAGTCCTGGGTTCTAGAAGAGCCTCAGCTGTCATCCATCAATCATGGACACTACATTTTACTCACACTTCACTGTGGCAGTAGTGACTTAAGACAAGGATTCAGAGTTCCAAGCCCTTGCTTATTAGTCTTAGTCTCAGGATTTACAGGTGAAAAGCTACATAACAGCTGGGCAGACCATCACCTCACACTACAACAGTAATGAGTAGGACCAGGGTCCAAGCCACTAACATCACGGAACCAGCTACTGGAGATGACTTATGAAGACCTGTAAGATTCGACTAGAAGCTTTGACCACTTTCATGTCTTGAAATGCTTGAGTGAACAGCAATCCAGAGTACCTGACCTGGCTCATCAATGCTGGCAGCAAAGTGCACTACCCTCGCTGTGAAATGTGCGTTCCCTTGCTTTCGTAATGCTTCGGGACTTAATCACTACTTCTCACAGCCAGCATCCCCACCCTCCGGGCTTTCAGGATGCGCCAAGTATCGCTACAACTTCAAAGCCTCTTTTAGAGGTCTTGCTCCAAGCAGCAATACTCCCCAGCTCTATAAAAACGTCCTACAGAGTAACAGGCCTCGCAGTAAGAAGCCTCTAACAGGTTGCACGGTGGCTTTCCTTGGGGACACAAAAGGGACTCCAGCCACGGTGCGGGCCCGGCGGACGCCGCCGCCAGATGCGCCGCTCCTCCCCGCACCTGGACGTGTCCCCGGGCGCAGGCCTTTTAACCAGGGGCCCCCGCTGCCACCCAGCAGCTCAGTTAAGATTTGCAGGTGACTCAAAAGCCTGAGCGCGCCCGCGTCCGCCCGCGCCCCGGGCCATGCGGCTCGCCGAAGCCGGCGCCGTCACCTGGGCGCCCCGCCCCGCCCCGGCGGGATGGGCACACCCGGATTCGCACCTGGCAGAGCCCGCGGACGCGCCGGCTCCGCAGCCCCCGGCCTCCGCCGCCAGCCATGCTGCACGCGCAGCTCGCAGTCCCAGGCGCGGCGTGGAAAGGAAGTGCGGAGCTTGCCGCAACCCCAAGGCGCTCCGCAGGCCCCGCCTCTTCCGGTTTCCCCGCCCGCCCTCCGTTGCTGGTGGGGCGGAGGGAGCAGGTTGTGGGAGCGAGTGAGGCTCAGGAGTACCTCAGCCAGAGCTTTTTAATTGACTTTGCAAGTGATGAATAATGCCTAAAATAGGACAGTCCCCCAGCCCTGGTGCTTATCTCCGTCTTCTAAATCCTTGGTACCTGCTTGGTCTTCTAGATCCTCACCTACTTCTGTGTTTTTAAAACGTGGTATTATTAGCCAACTCCATTTAATGTTTTTGTTTTGTTTTAAGATTCATTTTACTTTATGTTTATGGGTGTTTTGCCTGCATGTGTGTATGGGTGCCGACAGAGTTCAGAAGAGGGCATTGGATTCCCTGGACCTGGAGTTACTGTGTGTGTGTGGGGGGGGGGGGGGGGGCTAAGCCTAGATTCTCTGGAAGATCAGCTAGTGGCCTTAACTGCTAAACCATCTGCAGCTCACAGCAACTCCATTAGTTAGTGTTCTGGAATCAGTGTGCATGCACATACATATGTGTACACACACATACACACACACACAGAAAACTTGGCTAACTACTTTAATTTGTACCAGTAATACAAGTTTTCCTTAATAGTTGTAGTGACCTACTGTCTTAGGGTTTCAATTGTTGTAATGAAACATCATGGCCAACTGCAAATTGGGGAGAAAGGGGCTCCTTTACTTACCATTCCACATACCTGTTCATCACTGAAGGAAATCAGGGCAGGAACTGGAGCAGGACAGAAACCAATGCAGAGAGGCCATGGAGAAGTGCCGTTTACAGGGTTTCTCTGCTTGCCTTCTTATAAAAACTCAGGACCAAGGCCCAGTGTGGTATTCCCTTCTACAATGGGTTGAGTCTCCCCACATCAATCACTAATTGAGAAAATGCTCTACAGGCTTGCCTACAGCCTGATCTTCTGGAAGCATCTTCTCAGTTGAGGCTCCCTCTCTCTCAGATGATTGTACTGTTTGTCAAGCTGACATCAAACTAGCCACCAGTTACTGTGCTTATGAACATATTGTGACTTGCTATTGATGTTCTTGTTTCTAACTTTTTATGGGGGTGCCTCTCGTGTATGCGCACATGGAGGCCAGAGGACAGCTCTATGGACTTGATTCCCCCTCCTGTACATGTATTCAGGGGCTGGGATTCAGGATGGCAGGCTTGAGCACCGTTATCTGCCAAGCCGTCTCAATAGCGTGGCCTTTCATATTTCTTGATCTCATTCATCTCAATCAGTCCTGGCTACAAAACATTAGGCTTGGTGCCAGGAAAAGAAATGTTTATGATCTTGTCTGAAAAATATACATGAAAAAGTAAAATCACATAAATTGGTGACGATAAATAAATAAGTAAATGTCACGTCTTCTTTAAAAGGAGCTGAGGACTTGGCTGGGTAGGTAAAGAGCTTGCAGTGTGCTGGGTAGTTTTTCTCAGCCTGACACAAACTAGAGTCACCTGGGAAGAGGCAGCCACAATCAGGGAACTGCTCCATCAGATTGGCTTTGGTGTGCAAGTGTTGGACGTTTTCTTGAGTTGTCTTGATAATGGCTGATGTGGGAGGGGTCTAGCCTGCTGTGATGCAGCCACCTCTGGACAGGTGTTTTGGGCTGTATAAGAAAGTAGGCCAGTGGGTATCATTTGTGATTTCTGCTTCAGTTCCTTCCATAAGTCCCAGTTTGGAATTCAATGGTGAACTACAATGTACAGTTGTAAGCTTAAATAAACCCTTTTCTCCCTACATCGGTTTTGGTCAGTGTTTTATACAAAGCAACAGAGAAACAAACTTGGATACCATACAAGCCCAGTGCACTGAGGATGTGGACACAGGAGGATCCTGGGAGCTGTGTGCAGAGCCGGTGACTGAAAGCCTAGATTGTAAAAACAGGATCCCGTGAAAGACCATCTGACTTTGCTGATTTTGCTCAACAGTGATTGGTCAGCCACTACCTAGAGAGGGATGCTTGCTGAGACAGCCTGTCTCCAAAGACAATCATCTGTCTTGCTTCAGCAAGCAATTCCAGGAAGGAAAGACTGTATCAGTCCTCATGGATTCTCCAGTGTAGTGTCTGACCTTCGCTATCTGAAATGAATAGTTTTATTTGTTGAGGTCAGACTCAGGTCTGTTTCTGTCTTCTGTCTCTTTACTCTGTGCTCCGAAATAGTCTGGCTTAATCTGTGAATTCCAGGTTTAGTAATACTCTGTCTCAAACAAATCAAGTGGAGAGTGGTTGAGAACTGCACCTCTGATTTTGGCCTTCACACACATGCAACACACACACACACACACACACACACACACACACACACCTGCTCAGGTCCAGTGTAACTTTGATTTTCAATTTTACTGTCCTATCTAGTGTCTTCTATCTCTGTAACACCTATATTTCCTGGGCTGGTTCACATTTAATGTGAGATTTAAATTCCCTTTTCTTAATCTCAGCACCAGCAGCCAGAGGCAGGTGGTTCTCTGTGAGTCATCCTGGTCTACATAGTGAGTTCCAGGACAGCCAGAGTTACACAGTAGAGAGAGCCTGCCTCAAGCAAAAAACAAAAACAAAACAAACAAACAAACAACAAAACAAACAAACCAGCTTCATCTTCCAGTTTGTCGGGGCCGGGGGTGGGGGGCATAGGGAAATCCACAGAGCCCAGGGTTGTCTAATAACCTTGACTATGTGACAGTTCCTCTTCATCACCATCTTGCCCGGATTTAGAGTCACTTCTGACACACATCTGGGGTGTCTCTGAGGGAGTTTCCAAAGAGGAGAGAAGCCCCACCCTGAATATAGGTAGTGCCCTCCCTTGGGCTAGGATTCCAGACTAAATAAAAGGGGGAAGGGCCTAAGACCAACATTCAGCTCCAGTCACGAGAAAATTACTAACGAAATTACTTATGTCAACAATTCTCATTATATTTTAAAATGCCCACCACATATATTTTTACTAATTTTTGGTGAGGCTGCCTTGGTACAGCATGTAAATGGGACCTCTGAAAGATGCTCTGTCTCAGGCACTGACTGATGAGAGTCTCAGCACTGTGGAGAGACGGCAATGTTTCCGATCTACAGATTAAGTAAGACTTTATCTTGGGCTGGTTCTAGCCCTCCAAAGCAGCCATTGCACAGCTCTCTGTCTGAACTCACATTTTGTAAGTAATAGACAAAACACCTCTTGGAATCTATCACTTTAGCCGACCACTGGCTTACACTAATTCAAAAGCTAAGAATGTCACCAAACAGTGTGTGAGACCAGAAAACCTCTCCTCATCTTGTAGTGCCCTCTGCTAATCCCGCCACGCAGGAATAAGACTGCTACCACGATTTTAAGCCAAATTTGAAGCAAGGTTTATTAATACTGGCCAGGACCACACTTTAGGCTCATGATTCCCAGAGTATGGTCTCAAATTATATTAGCCAGGGGCTTGTAAATGTAAAACCCACAAAGCTATGCACTTCCCACCTTTGTCCAATGAGGGGCAAGCATACATCCTAACGTACTTCCTGCCTACGTTCCTCTTGCCCAGCATAATCAAGCACATCCTGTCAGATGCTGCAACCAAGCTTGTTAACAGAGGTGAGAACACGTGTCTTGTTATCTTCCCTGAACAACAGCTGCCAGCACTCCAGAGATCTATCTGTCCTTCTGCAAGAGGGGCTTACAGGTTAGGGGTGTTTTTCTTCTATAGATCTTTTAATCACAGCAATTTAAACTTAAAACTTAGCTTTAGCCATCACAGCTGACTTCAGGAAAAGGCTCTAGCATTCTCCAGCAGTAAGCAGATCTGTGTGTGTGTGTGGGGGGTGCTGGTTCCTAAAATGATGAATTGTTGTCATCTGCAAATACACCTCGGGGGCAACACTCCCCGATTTAAATATAATAAAACTAAAAAGCAACTACCCATTGATAATAGAAACCAGAATTACTTCTAAAAGGTTGAGTGTAGTACATGCCTTTAATGCTCGAACTCTGGAGCAGAGGTAGGAGGATTTCTGTGAGTTCTAGAATAGCCTGGTTTACACAGTAAGTTACAGGACTAAATACAGAGACCCTGTCTCCAAAAAAAAAAAAAAAAGAAAGAAAAGGAAAAGAAAGAAAAAGACAAAAGGAAAGAAACAAGAGAAAGAGGAGAAAAAGGAGGTTATTAGTTCTAGAAATACACGTGGATATTATTTTTTCCAGGTGGCCAGGATCTGTAATCGGTACTTCCACATGAAACTGCTATTAGTAAATTAATCCCTTTGGCTACCAGCCCTTGCTCGTAGTAGTGAGTGACTTGAAGGCCCCTAGGTCTTCTAACAGGACACTGGTGGGAGCTGGTAGGAACTAGACATAAGAACCACATTGTTGTGCTCTCTTGCTCAGTAGTAAGCATGTCAAGACAGAGTTAATGCAAGAGAAATATAAATGACCCTAGTCAGAAACGGATGACTTTCCTATATAAAGTCTTTTCACCCTCCAGCAGGATTATTTTTAATCATAATATTGACATTGAGATAATCATAGCATTTATATATTTTGTTCAACTTAAAATTCCAAATCTGTGAAAAAAATACATTAAATTGTCAGAAAGTAGGACATTGATCTGGCAGGAATTTGATGCTCAAATCCTTAAAGCCCATGGACTCTACTGGGATAATTTTGCGGAAAATTGCCTAAATTACTTACGATTTCTGTCTGGATCTGAAACAGTCGTGTGGTTTAATTGTCAGTGTGAACCACAAGGACCTTCCTTCTCGGTTTAACTTAACTTTCATGTTAATAAGCTTTGAAAACAACTACTTAAATCCCACCATGAGAAGTTCCCGGAGTAAGGGGATGTTTTCAAATTGTTCCAACTAGCCAAAGGGACTTGAGGGGGCGTGTCCTTTTTGATGAAGAGACACATATGGGAGGAAGTGGACTTGAGGGGGCGTGTCCTTTTTGATGAAGAGACACATATGGGAGGAAGTGGATCCTCTTTTCCCCTCCC